AGAGAGAGAGAGAGAGAGAGAGTATTGTACTGTATATTGTGTTTTTGCAATACATTAAACATAGCAGACATATAATACATGCCGTATAAGACAAATATCATGATCTAATTGTTTTATTTTGTTGCCATTAGCTATTTATCTATTATATGAGACATTTATTATTGTCCTTTTTCCAGCTATTTTAATGTGTCCTGTTATATATCTATTCCTAGATGCTATTTAAGTTGAATGTGCTTGAACATTAACAATAAGCGATGACTTATCAATGCTTAATGTTATTTACCAGCATGATAATTCTGCGAAATAATTATTTAGCATTTAGTTGACATTTATTTAGCAATGATTTAATTGAGCTATATAAATTGTATATGACTTAAATAGATTTTATGCGCTAAATAATTAATAAACTAAAGCTAACCGCATTATAAATAATAAATGTTCATAGTGCATTTATGCTATTGTATAACTGTGCTGTGTAACGATTTAATGATTGTCCTAATCTATATTAACTTGCTTAATTAAAATTAATTACATTGTATTAATTTAATTAATTATATTTATTTGCAGTTCGCCGGAGGACCGTCACTGACATACTGCCCCCGTAAAGCCTGTGCCCACCCCTACGCCCCTGTCATCATCAACATCGCCAGCGATAGCCAACATCCAAATGGTCTAGCTCATCAATTATTCATACTAGCTTGTTTGCTTTGTTTTGGTTGCATTTATTTATCCCGGTTATTGATTAGTTTTAAAATGTAAAAAGTAAAATATTACTGTATTTTTGTTTAATTAAATTAATATTCTACATTATTCATTATATTTGTTATTTAATTATTAATGCTCTATAATGATTTATAATTAGATTATTTTACAGTTTATACATTGCATTTGTAAATATAATTAAAATAGATTGATAAAATAACTAGGCTTATGTCACGTGGACACATTTGTAACATTTATATTAATTATTATAATAATTATATATTAAATATAACATAAAATAGTATTTTATTTGTACGAATCGCTTGTATTATGTATATTATTGTTCATTATATGCAGTAAACAATATATAAATATTTAATATTACAGAATATTCATGAATATAATTTACAAAATTGCTATTTTCTATACCACGTTGTGTTAAATTATTTGTTTTATAAATATTATATATAAAATATAATAATGTAAGTTTTATTTGATTGTCAGTTTAATGTAGTTATTAAAATGATTATGATGATTATTACTGTTATTTATTACTGGTATAGTATTATATTTGTCAAAATAACATAACAATGTATTTAACGATCAAAACAACATGAAAAACAATACAAAAATAACTGTTATTTTTAACACTTATAACATAAATGTCATTATTTATCGCTATATATAAGTTACAAATATTAAATAAATACTGAGATTTTGGCCAAAAAATAACTTGTGTTTATTAATTACTGTATTTATGTTATTGTTTACGTATTATTTATAAACAAACTGAGCTATACTTTAATTAAATTAATGTTGAAAAATTATATTTTAATATACATTTATTATTGTTTAAAATATTTTATTTTATTGTTTTGAAATGAGTCTTGAAATCTCTCTCTCTCTCTCTCTCTCTCTCTCTCTCACACACACACACACACACATAAGTAAAGGTTTTCTAAAATGTATACCATTTGACAACTTATTATTGAATTTTGCCACATATTTAGTGAGTGTTTGTTTCAATTGTAAGTAATTTATGATACAATAAAACTATAGTTATTATAATTTTATTTGCAGTTAAATCTGTGTTCCCATTTCTTTCACTGATTATTACAAGTCTTAACCACAAAATTTATTCTTATTAACGACACAATTATTTATATCTTTTATAAAATATTTCTCCATTAAAAATAACATAAGAAATGAATTCAAGTGTTATTAACGACTTAATTATTTTTATATTTATTTAATAAGTGTTTAGTGAATGATCTCTTTATTCGCACAATTAAAGTATAATTAATTTAAAATGTTAAAATAATTTTTAATAAATACTATTGCAAATGTATAATGTTCATATTTCATATTTAAAGTTTAAAAGGTGCAAAACATCTATAATTATTACCACACCTTATATTATAATTAAAAATACTGATAACACTATTATCAACAAAACGGCTGCCAACTAATCAACAGACAATAAATGATAAGTAATAATTATTTAGTAAAATATCTCAAATTATTCACGCAATTAAAAATATAATTAATTAAAAATTTTATTATATTTTGTAATAAATAATATTAGAGCAAAAGCATAATGATAATATATTTATATGTAAAGTTTACAAAGTTTGAAAAGTCTATAATAATTACCACACCTTAAATTAAAAGTGATAATACTATTATCAGCAAAATGGCTGCCAATCAATCAACAGGTAATAAATGATAATATGTTTTAACTTATATTTTAACATTTATCATGTTTTTAAACACTTTTGTAGTTTCTAACCCGAAGTCAAACTTTTTTGACGATAATTTCCAAAAGTTATCACATATAGGGAGGGGTGGGTTCGGAGAGGTATATCACGTGAGGCATATGATTGAAGGGGAAGAGTACGCGGTTAAAATTGTAAAGTTCCTTGGTAATTTTACAATTAATATTATTTAGAGTTAAATCATTTGTATTTAATTAATATTAATAAGAAGTTTGTTTTGCAGACATTTATGGCGATAACAAAAGACAGGAAATATTAAAAGAAGTGCAAAATTTAGTTAAATTGCGCTCAGATTTTGTGGTCAATTACCGCAACTCATGGCGTGAAGACAATCATCTGTACATTCAAATGGATTATTATCCACAAAATCTACAGACGATTATCGATAATAAGCACATTGTGTTTGGGAGACAAACGGGAGAACCGATGAAAATATTTGAATATTTTATTTCGTGTGAAATAATTAGAGAACTCTTAGAGAGTGTAAAATATCTACACGATTTGTGTCCACCGGTTATCCATCGGGACCTCAAACCGTCAAATGTTATGATTTCACAAAATAGTAATAACAATCGGTTTATACGGTTGTGTGACTTAGGGTTGGCCACCAGTCATGACATGACATCCATGAGCCACACCTCTAATGTCGGAACCGCACAATATATGGCACCCGAAATATTTCAACCCCGATATACAATCAAAGTAGACATCTATAGTCTAGCAGTGATTGCGTTTCATTTGTTTGATTTATTTAATATGTAAGTCAACGGGAATTACTTTATTATAATATTTAATATATAAATATATACTTTTATTTTCAAATGTTTTATTAGTGAAAATCCAATGGAAAAATACAAATCAACCGTATTTTCAGTAAATTTCAATAAATTATTTGCAATAATTGGACAAATGTTTCAATCAATGGCAGACAATCGGCCGACCAGTGGTCGAGTACTCGACGTCTATAATGAGTGGTCAGTCGATAGACATATGATTACAACAAATGATAAAGCATTCAACGAAATACAAAATACACTACAATCTTATGAAAATACATTTTTTAATGAGTTTTTCAATTATAAAATAAATAATATTAACATTTCTAGTGATAATAATTTAAATAATAAATCAAGTGATCGATTAAATGCAAATAAAAAGCCTAATATTGTGAACAAACTTATTGTTAATAAAAGAAGTAGTGTTTTGAATACGAAGGTCGAAAATATGGGCCGAAATGAGGGAACGGAAGGGAAAGTGAGTGTCGGAGAGGAGGGAAACACACCGAAGGAGAGACACAAACGGGAAGAGAGAAACCAAAGCCATGTTTTAATTGGTGTTACTTTAGGTCAGAAATCACGTGATATTCAAAGCGATAGAACGAATCAATTGTCGACACGAGTGATGAGTGGTTCGGCCGCCGGTGGAGACAAACCCACAGTTTTTAAAGGAAATGCCAGTAAATTGAGGGCGAAATTTGAAAGTATGGCCCAAAACGAGGAAATGGTTGTTAAACGCAGAGCCGATGAGGAGAGGGACAGACGTCTGGAGCGCGAGAAACACGAGATGACGGCCGAGAAAGAGAGACAACAAGTGGTGACTAAATCGGCGGCTAATCCCGAGTCCGACGCACAGAAACAAAAACCGGATTTCGGGAAAACCGCGAAACCAAGTAATAATAGCGGTTCGCCGACAAAACTGACGGCTACGGCTCTGTATGACTACAAAGCGGTCGATTTGGATGGCATTAATTTAGATATGAATGAATTGATCACTGATATAGAAATGATGGACGAGGGCTGGTGTCGGGGCCGGTGTGGCAACAAAGTAGGACTCTTTCCCACCAGTTATGTGCGATTCAAACAATTGACTGAATCAGAAATCACTGACAATTATATAGAAATTGCATCGATTGGTGGCAATAGTCTAGCAATTGATCCCAAATATAAGTCTATCGATAATAAAGTAGACATTAATTGTATGAAATTATTTCACGTTTTTGATGACAGCAATGGGTTTAATGTATTGTTTGTTACAAATGATGATATGGTTTACGGCATGGGATCTAATGAATGGGGAAGACTTGGTTTGGGAAACAATAGGGCTGTCAATACACCGCATATTATAAAAAAATTATGTCAACAAAATATACGACAAATTATTTGTGGTTATGATTTTGTTTTATCCATTAATGACAACAACTGTATAAACGGATGGGGTCGTAATATTTATGCACAGTTAGCCCGATCACCGACAGATGATTACTTAAAACCAGTCGTCATATCATTGCCTAATAATCCTGTTATCCGTGATATAAGTTGTGGTGATTATCACTCACTTGTGGTCACCGGAGATGACAGTGTCTACGGATGGGGTCGTAATAGTGACGGACAGTTGGGATGTGGAGAACAGCACTCGACTAAAATAATTACTCCAATGGAAATACAATTCATAGACAATGGGATTGAATATAAAATACGTGGCGTTTATTGTTCTTCTCATTCTTCGTTTGCCGTCACAACTGATGGCCGAGTCTTCAGTTGGGGTCAAAATCTCTCTCATTTGGGACACAATTTATCGCAAAATGTATTCAAACCACAAATTATTGATTATGTGTTTAACATTCAAACTGTTTGTTCGGATGGAAGGAAAACTTATTTCTTAACAAACGACGGGTTTGTGTATTTTTGTGGTTATAAATATAATATAGATAATAAAGTCAATGCAATATATAAATCAGTGAAAAAATTATTTAATAATGAAAGTGTGAGCATGCACAATTTATATGTTCTCAAATCACGGAAAATGAGTTATTTTTGTTTAATCTGTAAATCAAATGATAATAAAATATATGAAATGAATGAATCGCTTAAATTGTGTGAAACTGATTACACGAATGCTTTTGATTACTGTTTAAATGAATTGCAAATCACTTATAAAACAATACATTTATGCGATTATAAAGACTATAATTACAAAACATTTGAACAATTTAAAGAAAAATGCGAACATTTCATAAACAAAATTTCTGTTGAAATAAATAATAAATAAATTGTAATATATTTTGTGATATTTTTTATAAAGCCTGAAATTAATAAATTTTATGTAAATTTTTATATAAACAAAACAATCAAATAATAAATTAATAAAACACTATATACGATGAATTACCTTTATTTGAATTGAAGTGTTTTCAAATTTTTAATTTGTTTTATTAAAATATAATCACAAAAATTACATAAAATTAAATTAAAAGCTATTTAGAAAAGACAACGAATTAGAGGACAGAAATTATTAATAATTATTGTTTGAAATTATGTGACTTTGGTTTGAGTCATGTTTTTAAGAGTCTGTCAGACAATAGAAATCCCGAATATTTATCGCCCGAAGAAACTGACGGACAAACTGTTGATTACAAGACAGATGTTTACAGTGCGGCCAAAATCGGGGAAATTATTATGAATATTAACTTAATATAAATTGACTGTAAATATTGTTATAATAATTATATGTGTATAACATTAATTATTATTTCGTTTAAATAATTAAACATCAAAGACATCAATAAAATACTATATGATAACTCATAAATAAATTTAAAATCAATATATTTTATTTAAGATTTACATTTGCATTATTTACTTTGCATGAACTTTTTCATATAAACAAATAGTAAAATAAATGAAATATAACTTATAATTACAAATTAGTTTTAATAAAATTATAAGAATATCTAATATTAGTCTTAAGTCTGCAGTAAGCAATATATAAATATTTTATATTACAGAATATTTATGAATATAATTTACAAAATTTCTATTTTCTATATCAAGTTGTGTTAAATTATTTGTTTTATAAATATAAAATACAATGATGTAAGTTTTATTTGATTGTCAGTTTAGTGTAGTTATTAAAATGATTATGATTATTATTACTGTTATTTCTTACTGGTATATTATTATATTAAATATGACAAATTTTGTCAATAAAAACATAACAATGTATTTAACGATCAAAATAACATACAAAATAATAACAAAAGTTATTGTTATTTTTAACACTTATAACAAAAAACATAAATGTCATTATTTATCGCTATATATAAGTTACAAATATTAAATAAATACCGAGATTTTGGCCAAAAAATAACTTGTGTTTATTGTTTACTGTGTTCATTAAACTAGTTGTTTATGTATTATTTATTTTAAAAACTCAGCTATAATTAACTTAATGTTGAAAAATTATATTTTAATATACATTTATTATTAAATTTACCACACATTTGATAAGTGTTTGTTTCAATTGTAAGTAATTTATAAGACAATAAAACTATAGTTATTATCATTTTATTTTCAGTTAAATCTATGTTTCCATTGCTGTAACTGATTATTACAAGTCTTAACCACAAAATTTAGTCTCATTAACGATACAACTATTTATATGTTTTATAAAATATTTCTTCATTAAAAATAGCATAAGAATTGAATTCAAGTCTTATTAATGACTAATTATTTTTATATTTATTTAATAAGTGTTTAGTGAAAGATCTCTTTATTCACACAATTAAAAGTATAATTAATTTAAAATGTTATAATATTTTTAAATAAATAATTTCGCAATTGTAATGCTTTGTAATGTCAAAATGATTTGTAATGTGAACAATGTAAAAATCTAGTTAATTAAAAGAATTTATTCAATCAGTGTTCATAATAAACATAATATTTTAATGTCATATGTCTTTACTTTACATAAAGTGATTTCTAACTTATTTTAACAATGAAAATATTTTGAAACACATTTATAATTATCATTTAATCTAATTAATAAGATACCTAATAACAGCAATTTTAATATTATTACCTTAAATATAATTGTTTAAACAAATTCAACATAATAATTACCTTAAAAAATGGCGTCCAACTCTAATCAGCACATGGAACAGAGTCTACAAGGTATTAAATGTCACCATGGTTACGTCTATCATATTTATCAATTTATTTGATGTTAGAAATATCATTATTTACTTTTAATTCACAGCTTCTAATAGCACTTCAAACAGAAATTATTTTATGAAAACATTTGAAAAGTTGAAGTCTAAAGGAAAGGGCGCTTTCGGGGAAGTATATAAAGTGAAGCATATAATTGACCATGATGTGTACGCCGTTAAAATTATCAAGTTTGAAGGTAGTTATAAGGCTTTTCTTCATTTCATATTCATATGTGGCAAAAATTAATTATTTTACTTGATAAATTAGACCGTAGTTAAATGTACAAATTAGTTACAAATATTTATAATACCGTTTGTTTTTAGACACTTATACTAATCAAAAGAGACAACAAATATTAAGCGAGGTGGAAAAATTAAAAAAATTGTGCTCTCATTATGTGGTAGTTTATCGCAACTCATGGCTCGACGACAATCATCTGTTCATTGAAATGGATTATTACTCACAAAATCTACAGAAAATTATTGATATCAAACCCAAAGTCTTTGGAAGAAAACCAGAAGAAGTGTTGAATGTCTTTGAATATTACATTTCGTGCGAAATATTCAAAGAGATCTTAGAATGCGTTCAATATCTGCACGAATCGGAACCACAAGTCATTCATCGAGACCTCAAACCTTCAAATATATTGATTTCAAAAAATGCCGACAAAAACACAAATCGATTCATAAGATTAGGTGACTTCGGGTCCGCCACTTATCACGACATGACAATCGCATCCATGAGCCACACCTCTAATGTAGGGACAGCACAATATATGGCACGAGAAATATTTCAACCCCGATATAACATAAAAGTGGATATTTATAGTTTGGGAATAATTGCAAACCATTTGTTTAATTTATTTGATGTGTACGTTATTTAATACATAACTTTTATAACTTTACATTTAATTCATTATTTTTCTTGGGAGCCGGACACTTGCTCGAAAGACACTTGCTCGAAATACACTTGCTCGAAAGACACATGCTCGAAATACACTTGCTCGAAATACACATGCTCGAAATACACTTGCTCGAAGGACACTTGCTCGAAATACACACGGAACCACAAGTCATTCATCGAGACCTCAAACCTTCAAATATATTGATTTCAAAAAATGCCGACAAAAATACAAATCGATTCATAAGATTAGGTGACTTCGGGTCCGCCACTTATCACGACATGACTATGACATCCATGAGTCACACAAAAAATGTCGGAACCGCACAATATATGGCTCGCGAAGTATTTCAATCCCGATATACCATAAAAGTGGATATTTATAGTTTGGGAATTATTGCAAACCATTTGTTTAATTTATTCGATGTGTAAGTTATTTAATCTGTACTTTATATATAATTGTTGTTATAAACGATATAATTAATTATATATTTTTATCAGTGATGATCAAATGAATGAATATAATTCAACTGTATTTTCTACAAACTTTAAGAAATTGATAAAAATTGTTAAACAGATGTGTAAATCAAAGGATGGCAAACGGCCCTTCAGTGGCGAAGTAATCAACGACTATAACCAGTGGTCTATCCATAAAAGTTTACTTACTTCAGACAAACAACGGCTCACCGAAACATTAGATAGATATAAAAACATTGAAAACAAATTTTTCAGTATGTTTTTAAATTGTAAATTATTTAATAACTTTACTGACAAATTCAACCCAAACAATGACAACGTGGTAAGAGATTAATTGATACTAATACTTATTTATAAATTATACAATATGAATTAGTTAAAGTTATATCAGTTTATTGCCTTAAACATTGAATGGATGGGCCATTATATTCACTCATTACTTTTTAATGAGTAATATTGGTAATTATTGAACAGTATAGTAAAAATAAGTAATCTATGGTAATGCCCATTCATTCAATCAGGCAATAAACTGATATAACTTTAACTAATTCATATGTTGTATGTGTTTTTTGTATGTATAAATTTTGGGTTTACTATTTGCTATACACAGGACTTTAAAAATACATCTAATATTAATATTATTAATATTAACAATAATCAAAACGTGAGAATAGGAAATGGAGTCAATATGTCTACAAATCATCGAATAAAACACGATTCTATTAAATCATTAGACGAAATGTCTGGAATCCAAACGAGCAATTTTAACCAATCGTTATACAAGATCGCATCGATTGGTGGCAATAGTCTAGCAATTGATCCCAAATATAAGTCTATCGATAATAAAGTAGACATTAATTGTATGAAATTATTTCACGTCTTAGACGACGACATTGGGTTTAATGTATTGTTTGTGACAAACGATGATATGGTTTACGGCATGGGATCTAATTATTACGGATCACTCGGTTTGGGACACAATAGGGCTGTCAATACACCACATATTATACCAGAATTATGTNAATTATTACGGATCACTCGGTTTGGGACACAATAGGGCTGTCAATACACCACATATTATACCAGAATTATGTCATAAAAATATACAAAAATTTATTTGTGGCGGAAACTTTGTTGTATCCATTAATGACAACAACTGTATACACGGCTGGGGCTGTAATGACAGGACACAATTATCCCAATCACCGCGTAAAGATTACTTCAAACCAGTCGTCATTTCATTGCCTAATAATCCTGTTATTCGTGATATTAGTTGCGGTGCTTTTCACTCACTTGTAGTCACGAGTGATTACTGTGTTTACGGATGGGGTAGTAATAGAGAGGAACAGTTGGGTTGTGGGGAACAGCACTCGACTGATGTAATAATAACTCCAATGAAAATACAATTCATAGACAATGGGATTGAATATAAAATACGTGGCGTTTATTGTTATGCGAATTCCTCGTTTGCCGTCACAACTGATGGCCGAGTCTTCAGTTGGGGTCGAAATAACTGTCATTTGGGACACAATATATCGGATAATGTATTCAAACCACAAATGATTGACAATTTGTTTAATATTGAGACGGTTTGTTCGAATGCATCCCAAACTTATTTCCTAACAAACGACGGATTTGTGTATTTTTGTGGCCAATATATCAACGATAATAACATCAAATCAATACATAAATCAGTGATAAAATTATTTAATAATGAAAGAGTAAGCATGCACAATTTATATGCTCTTATATTATGGCAAAAGGTATCGATTCGTATAATCTGTAAATCAAGTGATAATAAATTATATGAAATTAATTATTTACTTAAATTGTGTGAAACTGATTACACGAATGCTTTTGACTACTGTTTAAATGAAATGCAAATAACTTATAAAACAATACATTTATGCGATTATAAAGAATATAATTACAAAACATACGAACAATTTAGTGAAAAATGTGTACAATTTATAAAGAAAATGTCTATTATTAATATACCCTCTGACCCACAAAATAAAAGCGTAAATTCGCAAAAGGGGTGCCAATTGTCGTAAATGTAAGTAATTTGTTTGTAATTTATAGAAAATGTATGTATTAAATTTTAATAAACAATTATCATAAGTATGACGTACTGTATATCAAGAATGCAATTATTAATTACCGTAAACATTGTTTACAGGAAATAATTATTGGATTACAAACGAGGTTGACACAGTTACTTATAAATACCCACATTTTTAGTTGTTATTAAACCGGATAGCATTTGAAATACAAGTAAATCAGTGGGTTTTACACCACGTTTATAATTATCGCACATACTTTGTATAAGTTGTATAAAAACGAATTATAATTAATACAATTAATTATTTTAGTAATTTAATTGTATTAATTATAAGTTCATTATTAATTTTTAATTTATTATAATTACATTTAAATATTAATGACGTAATTCAATATAATTTAAATATTGACAAATTGTTTTATTATAATCATTAATTAATTATTATTTAGATAGTATATTAAATTAATTATTAGATCTTATGCTAAAACATAATGTTATGCCAAATGTGATACAATACCTATCATGTTTATTACTTTTTGTAATGCAACAAATTTTACACAATTAAATTGTTTTTAATAATTATTATTTATCATCAATAAATTTGAAAATTAATCACGAGTTATTTTTATAAAAATGTATAGTATCCAGTCCGTCAATAATGATCCGCGAATCTGAAATTCGAATATCTCCTAAACCAGATGAGCTGGATTAAATCTGTAAATTGTGAAATGATGGTCCATATATCTAGTTTTTTACCAGAAAAAAATTATTGAAATCACGTGACTAGAACATAGAAATTTTAGGGTCATTTCGAAATGCCATGGTTTTAGCACAGTTGAAAGGGGGGTCGGAAGGGGGCGGGTATGCTATTCGGTAGAGGAGATGTCAAAGTATATGATAGCAAAGTTTCATAAACATCGAGTAAATAGTTTTTCGTAACGAACAATATATTTAAGAAATTTGACACAATATTTGGACAAAAATAGCCCAATTTTGACCTTTTTATACTATATTTTGGTAGTTATAAAAATATAACTTCAAAAAAACTTTTTCCCATAGACTTAATGTTAATGAAATCATCAATTTCTCATAGGTGGCTGAACTATTCTTAATCAAATTTTGCTATCATATACTTTGACGTCTCCTCTACCGAATAGCATACCCGCCCCTTCCGACCTCCTTTCAACTGGGCTAAAACCATGGCATTTCAAAATAACCCTAAAATTTCTATGTTCTAGTCACGTGATTTCAATAATTTTTTTCTGGTAAAAAACTAGATATATGGACCATCATTTCACAATTTACAGATTTGATCCAGCTCATCTGGTTTAGGAGATATTCGAATTTCAGATTGGCGGATCATTATTGACGGACTGGATATCATGGTTATTAATGCTTGAATATAACACTACAAATTGGAGTGTTTGACCAATAAAAAAAAATTTACAACTTATGTGTGAACAGGGTTTTGTTTAGATATTAATTTACAGGTTTAAACTAGTTATTAAAACAATAAATAAACATTATGGTAGAAATTAAATAAACCCAAAATCAAATCGTACAAAAATAAAACTATTAACCTAGTACATTTGTAATTTAAAAGTTATATAAATTTTATTTATAAATTGTTACCAGTAAATGATTTTTCATTATTATATTAACAAGTTTTAGTTACTTGGCAAGTGCATAATTGCACAACTCTACACTATACCACTGGGCAACTTGTGCCATGGTCAATTTAGACCAGATTTGCCTCTTTGGCCATTGAATAGAAGATAGAGTTAGTGTTTTGCAAGAGATGATGGGGTGAATCAAACTCGGCTACCATTCCCTTATCTATTACCAACACTTTGTCGTAATCTATGATTGTATTCAATCGATGAGCGATCGTAACCACAGTTGACAAACAAAACTCGTTTCTAATCGTCTCTTGGATTAAGTCATCCGTTTCCATATCAACCGCTGAAACAAACAATTAATTTAAACATTAATTTAATGACACAAAACAAGTCATACCAGCGGTCGCCTCGTCCAACACCAAGACCTTAGTTTTCCTCAACAAAGCTCTGGCCAAACAAATCAACTGTTTTTGTCCAACACTTAGATTGTCGCCGCCTTTAGAGATCTCATGACTCAATCCCTTTTCCAATGTGTCTACAAATGGCCGGAGATGTGCCAACTCTAACGCCCGCCAGATATCGTTGTCCGACCAGTGGTTGAATGGATCCAAATTGTGACGCAATGTTCCCGTGAAAAGAGTCGGCTCTTGCGGTATAATTGTTAGCCGAGATCTCAACTCATGTAAACCGAGTGCACTGATGTCCACGTCGTCTATAAGTATGGCGCCGTTGACCGGCTCTATGAGTCGGAACAGCCCCAGAGTTAGCGACGACTTTCCGGCGCCGGTTCGGCCGACTATTGCCACCTTCTCTGCGGGTTTCACTGCGAATGTAATCGCGTTAAGCACTAAATCCAATCCTTCCCGATATCTAGCGCTGTATTCACTGAACTTTATTTCTCCCCTTTCCGGCCACGAGTGGGGCAGAGGTTTTGTCGCCTTATTATACCATTCAGGCTAGAAATGTAAAATGTAAACAATTAAATATTATATTTAAATACATGTATACTGTAAGTGCATTACTTCTGTCGGACTGTGCGTATATTCCAGACACCTCTCGACGGATACGATATTGGTTTCGAGAGTCGACACAGTTTTTACAAACGACGCCAAAACACTGGTTATGTTTAGCGCGTAACTAATGGCCAGACCCGCGACACCGGGCGTTAGTTTATGTTTATACAACACAGCCAACACCGCCGTCACAAATACAATACAATAGCCCAGAAATTCAAGCCTAATGGCCAGCCATCGGGCGGCTGTAAAGCACGGATAATAACACATGTGGTTTTCATCGACCCGTCTATTGGACTCTTGTATGAACTGATGGGACACTCCGTAAGCCCTAATACTGGCGGAACCGCTGACTGTTTCGCCAAAATGAATATATATTGGCGAACGAGTGGTCGACTCAATGCGTTTGAGTTGTCGAGAGCTCGGGATATATAGCTTTTGAATGTAATAATAGATGAAAGCCGTGACAATGATTGCCGTCAATACGATAGGCGTCTCCAAACTAATCATAAATAGGGCGACGAATGCCCGCAAAAACAGCGTTATTGTCATCCGAACGCTGAATACGAGCGATACGTCCGTCGAATCCATGTCACCGCTGAACCAATTCAGGATCCGACCCATCGGTGTTGTGTCTGTAATAGTAATTGAAAAGTTAATATTGGTATTGCAATACCAATACTGATAATGTTACAATACTAACAATAATGGTAATATTGGCAATAATTTGATAATACTGGGACTATTTTGAAATTTTTAACAATACTAATACATGAATGCAATGATACTGTATAACAGATAATGATATAAATCAAATTAAAATGTTTCTACATAAATCATTAGACTCATCACACTAACAATATTGACTAGTTACTAGTTGAATTTTTTAACATAGCAATTCGTGATTAACAATACAATAGTTTAAAAAAACAATTACAAATATTAGTTTGCGCACATAAAAAACTTACTGTAGAACTGCATTGGTGTTTTCAATACGCGGTTCAACATTATGTTATGCAAGTGTTTGGCCGCCCGAATGCAGCCCAAACTGATGCCAATGTTGGCGATTAAATTGAAAATCGTGTCAAACACACCGATTCCGGCGTAAACGCCGAGCCGTACGTAACGCCCATTTGTGTCGTTTACTATATTGATTGAGTCAAGCGAGTCGTCCGACCACTCGCTCAGCCAAATGCCCGATAATATCTGAGCCGTTGTCGCGGCCACAGCCGACACAATAATGGCGGCGCAAAATCGGCCACCAATTAGTGAAATAAATTTTTTGTATACTCCGAGTCCAACAGAGCTCGTTTCCGAGCGCTCGGCTCCGGTCATCTGTGCGCTCGTTTTGATTGTTAATTTTTGTTGAATAATGTTTTTGTCAAATGTTTGCTCTTTTAGACACTTTACCGATTCATCGCTAAACTTATCTTCATTTTCCAGTTCATTGTCCGGCTGTTCCGATAGATATTCGGCCACAAATTGGGCGAAATAACCATTTTTTGAGATCAGCTCCTCATAAGTTCCCGATTCCGAGACGTAACCATTTTTTATGACCACAATTTGATCCACATTTGGCAAAATAGTGACACAATTTGTAACCAATATTCGTATTTTGTCTTTTAATAAACCGTTTCTACCGATAGTTTTGTCAAACAAATGTTTGCCCACATGTGGGTCGACAGCGCTATACAAAAACATTAAAATTTAATATTTGTTAATATTATCTAACAATGAATACCTTAACGGGTCGTCGAGTAAATAGATATCGCGGTTAGAATAGACAGCCCTCGCGAGTGAAACCCTCTGTTTCTGACCGCCGGACAAATTGATACCCTTTTCCCCGATTTCTGTCATATCTCTGTCCGGAAGGACCGACAAGTCTGGCACTAAATCACACGATTCGAGCACTCGTTCATAGTATTCATCATTTAATTCATTAGTGAACACAATATTCTCTTTGAGTGTCTTATTCTGAATCCACGGCTCTTGCGGTACGTAAGCGACGGTTCCGTTGACACCAGCGCTGCCCTCGAGTATTGCCAATTCGCCCAACAGTGCGGCCAATAGAGACGACTTCCCGGCGCCCACCGAACCCACGACAGCCACTAATCTCTTGTCAGATACTTCCAGCGATATATTGTTGAGTACCGCAGATCCAGGCCCTATATTCCAGGAAAATGTTGCATTCCTAACAATTATCGATTTATTTGCATTATTTTTATCCATAGAAATAGTATTTTCATTAATTTCGTTGGCATTCATGAAGCGATCGATTCTGTTTAGGGATACCCAACACTATATTGCAAAAACAAAATAATCATTTATAATGAATGGATATGTTTTGTTGTCTAATACCAGTGCGCCATAAGATAATAATATTGGTGTACACCCTAAGGTCGCGTTGGGCGCAATTAATATACTGACCCTTGCCTGGTATGTTTGGAGTCACTTTAGTGTTGGAAAATATCATAATTTTAAGTTTGGGCTTTGTTTGTTAACAGTAATTTATTAAAAGATAATATTTAATTAGCTTGTAAACTATTGAGAATAACACAGAAAATTGCATTAAAATTAAATATAAGACTATAAATTACTGCCAACGAAACGAAACCCAAACTTAAAATTATGATATTTTCCAACACTAAAGTGACTCCAAACATACCAGGCAAGGGTCAGTATATTAATTGCGCCCAACGCGACCCTAAGGGATATCCTAGAAATGCACAAAACAAATCATAATATCATAATATTATATTAAACATGGAATCTTAAATGAAACTTTGTTTTTTTAGATATTTCACCTATCCTAAAGTGAAACTTACGTGCATAACGTAATTTATATGCACGGAATTTGTGTAATAAACAGTAATTTGTAATGAATTGTATAAATTATTTTACTAATTATATTAAACAACGTCAACGACACGAACGCTTTGTTAGGGTCGAGAATATTATCGGAAGACATTAAGACAAATGCCATAAAGCTGAATAAACCGACCTTGTTATAAACCAAAATTGTAAATAAATTTAAGTAACAGGTTTTTCTATAAAGCATATACAAAAAAGTGAGCTTACACAAACGTGAATATCATTGCGCCCTCATATACGGCCACTTTGTTCAGCGCATTCACCTCCTTATCCCTGGCGCTGACCACTCGGTCACCGAACGGCTTCTCCCAGGCGTACAATTTCAACACTTTTATGGCATTCAATATTTCACTCATGAGTTTAACCCTCTGGTCCTTCGCCTCCATTTGAATCACTTGATATTTTCGCACTTTATTAGCCATATATGCGTTAAATGGCATTAAAATCACCAAAAATACGAGTCCTGCGAGACTGGCGGCCCCTAATTGGCGCCACAATAAGACTAAAGCGATGGCGATCTGAAAGGGCGCCGACCAGACCAGGTTCGCGAGTAATACAAAGTCTAGTATACGCTGAATGTCGACTGATATAGTGATGATCGACGAAGGCTGGTGGAGGGGTCGGTGTGGCGGCGAAATGGGACTCTTTCCGGCAAATTATGTGAGACTTAATCAAATGCCTGAATCGGAAATCACTGACAAATACAACAATATAGAGATCGCATCGATTGGTGGCAATAGTCTAACATTTGATCCCAAATACAAGTCTATCGATACTAATATAGACATTAATTGTATTCAATTATTTCACGTTTTTGATGACATCAAAGGGTTTAATGTATTGTTTGTGACAAATAATGGTATGGTTTATGGCATGGGATCTAATTATTGCGGATCACTCGGTTTGGGACACAATAGTGCTGTCAATACACCACAAGTTATACCAGAATTATGTCATCAAAGTATACGACAATTTATTTGTGGTTTTAACTTTGTTTTATCAATTAATGACAACAACTGTATACACGGGTGGGGCTGTAATAATAGGGCACAATTAGCCCGATCAACGACCGATGGTTATATAAAACCAGTCGTCTTTTTATTACCTAACAATCTTGTTACCCGTGATATTAGTTGTGGTGCTTTTCACTCACTTGTGGTCACCGGTGATGACTGTGTCTACGGATGGGGTTATAATAGTGAGGGACAGTTGGGTTGTGGGGAACAGAACTCGACTGAAATAATAACTCCAATGAAAATACAATTCATAGACAATGGAATTGAATATAAAATACGTGTATTCAAACCACAAATTATCGACAATATATTTAACATTCAAACAGTTTGTTCGGATCAATGGCGAACTTTTTTCCTTACAAACGATGGATTTGTGTATTTTTGTGGCCATAAAGTCGATTCAATACAGAAATCAGTGATAAAATTATTTAACAATGAAAGTGTCAACATGTTTAATTTATATGGTCTCCCATCATGGGTAAAGGAGACTTTTTATTTCATCTGTAAATCGAGTAATAATAAAATATATAAAATTAGACCTTCACTTAAATTGTGTGAAACTAATTACACGAATGTTTTTGATTTCTGTTTAAGTAAATTACAAATGACTTATAAAACAATACATTTATGCGATTATAAAGACTATAATTATAATACTTTTGAACAATTTAAAGAAAAATGTTTACATTTAATACATAAAATTTCTGTTGAAATAGATGATAAATAAATCGTGATATAATTTAGGAAATTATCAACACAATGTGAAAATAATCAATATTATGTTATATTTAAACAAAATTAACAATAAATAAAATAAGGCATTGTATTTGAATTGTTTTGACATTGTTTTCAGAATCAAATATAAATACAATAGAAATAATAATAATAATCTTAATAAGTAATAATCAATGATAACCATAATTGTAAGTAAAGTTATAATTAAATTGAATGTAATTTCAAAAAGGCAACGGATTAGACAACAAAAATATTTATTGCTTAAAATGTTATGTTTAAGTTTGAATGATGCGTACACTTTGATTACATTTTTAGCTAATCGCTGGTCGGCGGCACTCAACCGGTCCTTACGATCACCGATCAGTGCGTCGGTCAGAGCCCTCTGGACCGCCTGTTCATTGGCCACCAACTTTTTACGATATTTTGTGTTTAGATTAATATAAAGAGTCAGTCAATATATTCGTTCGCTCGTAGAATCCTCATATCTTTTAAATTATAAGTACTTAAATTCTATAAAAAGCATATAATAGGGCCATATTTGCGATTTCTTACCCACATTTTATGCGTAAATTTTTGTCACGTGGTATACAAAATATGAGGCAATTCCAACCACCCTAGTTATTTGTTAAACTATAAAATATATAGTGATAGTTCCAATGCAAAATGCATTGTATTTACAGTGCTATATAATGCTTTACTAACCATAATTAAATTTTTATAATATATTACTATTAATATAAGTAATAATTGTATAAATTAATAACATTGAGAGTATCTTGCAAGTTATGCTTTATGAATTTTAATTTAAAAGGAGGATGTGGAAGACTCTATGTTAATTTGGCTAATAAAATAATTTTTATTTAACCCTACGGAAAAAAGTTGTCTAAATTGTATCTTTGCCGATTTTTAGTTCAAAGTTAATTCAATGCGATATTCTTTATTATACTAAACATATATTAAATTAGAATCCAAATAATACACACTATATAACAATCTGGCTTTGAATTCGGCCATAGTGGCCACTATTTTTGGTAAATATAAACCAATTTAAAATTAACATATGACATATGAAATCAATGTAGAATTTAACGGAGAATCAGTATATAGTAATATCACATCAGTAAAATTAAGAGATTTTTCTAATTTGTGTAAAACTACCAAAACCTATTAAAAGTAAGTTATTACACCACCACCGACAACCCCACCACAACCCCAACCACCATTCACGACAACAATAAAGATCGCATCATTATTACAAAAAAAACTGAATTTAACTTAAAAAATAATTATTCATTATAATTTACATTTACCCTTTATTTTAGTACTAATTCGTTAATAAAGTATAGTTTTCAAAAAATTATCAATATATAACGTTAAAATAACAAAAATTATAATTATAATTTATAATTTCAAAAATATTTCAAAAACGATGTCCCATGCAAATTATAATGATATATTCTGAATCTACGTTAAATTCTACATAGATCTCATATATTATATGTTAATTTTTATAAGTTTAAAATTCCCGATAAAAGTGGTCATTACCGCCGATCCCGAGGTCGGTCGGCCATATAGATTATATCAATGGACTCCTTATGCATTGTACTTTCATTTTATATTGTCAAATCCCGATAGCCAGCTTAGCCGAAATCCGTCATCCTACTTTATGATTGAATCACGTAATAATAATTTGCATCAAATATATTCATAAATGGGCTCGTTGTTACTATACATACTATGATCTGAATTATCACCTTTGTCAATTGTATCATAATCATTTAATCCAATTCGAATATCATCGTAGTCACTCGAATTACACACATGGTTTAATTCACTATCACAAGTTACATAAGAGCCACTTAAATCATAAACAGTGCTTAGATTACTGCCAAACATAACATATTGTCGAGTGTTGGGCTCTCTCAGCTCGGGCAGTGGCCGAGTGTACATACAGTGCAGCGATATTTGTACACGGTGTTTTTTCCACTTTGTATAAACACATATAATTATTACCATGATAATTAGTACACTACCAACGCATATTGGCCACCATTGGTTTGCGCTATTCATACTAGTATATCGGGTTGGGCATATATAGCTAGAGTTTTAAATTGATCGCTATTTGAATACCAGTAGAGATACTGATGTCAATCAAAGTTTATTTTGTTCACAAAAGTGTGCGGTTTTTTTAGCACATGTTTTTTGTTAATTAAAATGACGTCAGCAAAAACTGTGTACACCACCAAACAGAGGATCGATATCATCGAGCTGTACATCGAGAATGGGAGATCGGCTGCGGCAACCTTGCGCAAATTCAAGGTAAAGTATAGGCAAAATGTGACCTTAAATTTGACCACAATCACCAAGTCAGTTTTTGAGGGATAGATATCATCGAGCTGTACATCGAGAATGGGAGATCGGCTGCGGCAACCTTGCGCAAATTCAAGGTAAAGTATAGGCAAAATGTGACCTTAAATTTGACCACAATCACCAAGTCAGTTTTTGAGGGATGGGATTTTTTACCCGTCGGACCGTCGTTCCGTCGATCCGTCGATAATTTATAATTAACTTAATTTATTAATATTATATACGAATTCGATGTAGAATTTAACGCTGAGTCTGAATTTGAAATTTAGAAAATTTTATCTCGAATATTTTTCGAGTTATTCGACTTAGAAGATTCGACCGACGTACCGGTTTTTTGTCACTTTTTTACGGCATTTGATTGTGTGCGAGGGTGGTCACTTTGAGAACCTCATCCAATAGTTCCACTAAAACGGCCATTATTTGTGAATAAAAAAAAATTTATTTGAACAAAATATCTCAACTCTAAGTATTTTTAAAAAATTAATTAAAACTCCAGCTCTTTATGCCCAACCCTGTACATATGATTTGGAAAGTTGCCAACGAATTACGATTTAGTGCCTAAAATTTAGGCTTATAAACATTGATTTTGAGGATATTAAATCAGGGCTATAAAGCAAGCAGCATATATCTTGTTTTACTTAGAACTTACGAGTGACCAACCATTTTTCAATACTATAAGCCGTATACAAGCAATTATTTTTACGACAATTTATATTTATGACCTAATCTAACATTTAAACCTAATTTCACCTCAATCGCTTACTACCTAAACTTGTAGGTCTAGGTTAGATTCGTTACTACCTGGACTCGTTAGATTCACATAATTTTATTTATAAAATAAATATTTAATATTAACCTCTATTTGAATCCATTCGTCGATTCCGGTCGAAACAAATTCATACGATTTCATGCGGTGGATAGGGTGACCAGACGTTCTCCGTTACGGAGGATTGTCCTCCATTTGACCTTTTCGAGTACCGTCCTCCGGAGACCCTGCGGAGGACTATACTTTGTCCTCCGTTACAGTTTTGGAGATGAAAATATACTTTGTATACATAATATGTTTTAGTTTTTCTCACATATATGATTATATTTTTAAAACTTATCATGTTTCAATCAAATACATAGGATTCATCAATTTTAACTTATATATTAGTGACCGCTAATTACAATCAAAAATCAATCACATATAGCACTATTAATACTCATACCAGTAATTACAGTAACTAGTAATACAAAGTATATAAGTGGACGCCTGCACTAAAAATCAACAACAGTTGAGTGCATGGCGTCTTTAAACAACAATCAATTCAATTCAATAAATCCAAAACATTACAACTTTCTATTCTTACTAAATAGTGAGTAATACTGCTATCTGATATTTATGATATTCCATCATTAATCTGCTATAGGTTGTATATAATTACACCACCTCTATTAATATAAGTATATTATATATTTTTAAATTAGGTTTGGTTTCACCTAAATTATGCCTAAAATTGCAATTTTTATCTATTTTGAACGTATTTCAAACTTATAATATTATGTGAGATACAACCCAACCAATTAATACAAAAAATAATGTGTCCTCCGAGCGTCCTCCGCTAGGAACTAAATTTTGAGTAAATGTCCTCCAATTCTTTAAAAATTTCTGGTCACCCTAGCGGTGGATGAAACTGTGGGCCATTTCATTGTCAGTGGTAAATATTAATCGATACATTTCGGGCGCATACATCCATATCTGAGAGCCCTTGTAATTGGGATCAGTGTATAATTGCTCCATATTTTCCAACCGGTCGTACGTCTGACCCCTCATAAGAGTGTCGTACAAATCGCCCGAATATAGCGATAATAATAGCGTACAAACCAATAGCCAAATGCCGGCAAACATGCGATCAAACCATTTGTTTATGAATTTTAATTCAAAAGAATCGGAGAGAATGACCGCCGAAAACGTCCAAATGGTTTGCAGACATCGACTGAACGATCGATACCTCAAACCAAACATCACTCCAATCGATATCAAAGACAATGCGATCGATGAATATATTACATAATCCCAACAATCGATAAATTCAAACGGCGAGCGATCAACTAATATACGCGGATAAATGAAATGTTAAATGTATAAATAAAATTGGCCTAGTGTAATTTAAATATCAAACCTTTGACTATTTTACTGATTAATACGTCTCCATCCATGTTATCAACATAACGGGTGGAATTGAAGTCAAAGTACTCGAACCCATACATGGAATCGCTTGGGATCGGAAAGAGCATGATATCATTGAATGACATGGAGCTGAAAACGTCGAACCAATACTCGTCATTGTCCTCCAATCGAGTCAACAAAACACTACATCATTCAAAATATAATTCATTGTACGAATTTACTTAAATTATGTAAACTTATACATGTAAATTATACATCAAATAAATTGTATAACATTTAGTTATTAAAATATAATAAATTTACTTTCTGTTGACATATTTGGCCACAGTTTGCAGTAATACTATAAATGGACCGCAATATCGATAGTATAGGAGAGATGTGTTGTCATCGATATCTACTTCCCATTCCTTGTATGACAAGAGCGGCGGATAAAAGGTTTGCGTTATAGTGAGAGGTCTATCGGTGGGATCGATGGCCCAATTGGTAGTGTTATGAGTGCTGTTTAAAGTAATACATCTCACATTATTAATTATGTCTTCCATTATTAAGAAAGTTTATATATTTTAATAAAATTATTATAAAGTTTGTATAAAGATGTCTATTTAAATGTCAAATAATACGATCCATAATATATCCATATACAGTATTTATCTGTGATATTCCTATTCATACTTTTTTGCAAGCAATGTAAAATAGTTATTAATAATTTTAATCATACGATAAACTTACAATACAAATGATGTATATTAATTATTATCTATACGATAAAGAAAATTTTAACACAATTTTAAATTAATTTTTAAATAATACTACAAATGATGTACTACACAATGATCTATAAATATAATATAATTAAATATCATAATAAATTAATAGTAATGAAATAATACCATGTAACTTATAATGCTAATAACGTTATAAGTTTATTATTATTATTAAATTTTAGTAAATAAAATAAAATCAATTATAATTATATAGCAATAATATAATAGTTATTGCAAAAATAATTATATTTTATTATAATGTTAAATGGTCAATTTTGATATTTTGCGTATCAATGTAAAAATAAATATCACTGTTTAACATATTCTACATCATTCTAATTGGAAATGTTTGACACGTGATATTCTTGCCGGTCGTGTCCTCCAGAAAGAGCAACACATCCAAAGACATGGGGACGGGATGTTCGTGCAGTTTAGGCACCGGGAGTGTCACCTCGAGTATGTATTCATTGCCTTTAATAAGTGGACAGTTCAACATGGTGAAATCATTGTAAACACGCGTCGCTAAATATAAGTAATATACAAATATCTTTAGTTATATTTTATATGCCATTTTTAATAATATTTTATTTTTAGAATAATACCAGGCTGTATAGAATATCACCATCATTAAGCTAATTACAAAATAAAATTTTTCAGTTTAATTATTGTGTATAAATATTGTAACATGGTTAACATTAATTACAATACCATTCTTGGTAAGTGTTGTTGATTAACTAATGTAATCAAATTAGAAATTGCAACTTTTGAAAATGTTAATTAAAAGGTATTTGTATGTGTAATAAAAAACTATGTCAATTGTTTGGATCTACAGCGATAATTACAAACAAATGTTGGGCCAATTGTTAGCACTTTAATGGATAGTGTTTTCTGACAGAAAGTGTCTGCAAATACACGGAGAAGTGCGACAATACTCGACACTGTAATAGAGATCACATTTTAATTAAACTAAACATAAAGTCATTGAACATAACATTTGAAGGGTTATTGCACTACAGGTGGGTATAAAAGTGAAAACAATTGCATATTATATTTAAGCATAAAATCATATATTTTTGAGTAGAGAATAACAAGTCCTTGAAATGTACACATTTTCTTACGTAATCACATTACTATGTCATAGGTTTACATCTACAGTACACGCGGCTGTGTTAGTGTGTGATATTATGTCTACAATATTTTTTAGATGATCATGTGCATAAAGTGTTAAATCAGTTTTGTGTGGCTATATTAGAATTTATTTAAATGACCCTTAAATTATATACATTTTAAAACATTAAGGTATACTCTAATCTCATTTGCTAAAGATTACATTCTCACTCTCTCTCTCTCTCTCTCTCTCTCTCTCTCTCTC